ACAAGATTTCATGTTAACAGAACAGAGTTCCTGTTGGTGACTTGGTCCGTAACATTCAGCCTCCCCGATTCTCTGACTTCTGAGATACCCAAAATGGCAAAATCTGAAGGATTTTGTGTAAGGAAAATGTGTGATCGAAACAGGTCAATGGAATCCAAAGATGCACTGAAAAGGACGAACCTGCAAGAACTATGATATGCTGGAACATTCTAACTACAAAGGTTGTGAATTCACCTTCTCCAGAAGACTTAAGACTAGTCTGGACAAGAATTGAGGATTTGAGCAAATCTCCTCCCTTCTAGCAGTGATGATGTTCCATAGTTGGGTCATAAAATGTCTGCAGGAAAATCACCAAGCTCAGAGAGCACTGAGGATCTCACACAATCCTTTTCTTTCTTTCTTTCTTTCTTTCTTTTCCTTCTTTCTTTCCCTTCTTTCTTTCCTACCTTCCTTCCTTCCTACCCTTCCTTCCTTCCTTTCTTTCCTTCCTTCCCTTCCTTCCTTTCTTCTTTCCCTTCCTTCCTTCCTTCTTCCCTTCCTTCCTTTCTTCCTTCCTTCCTTCCCTTCCCTTCCTTCCTTCCTTCCTTCCTTTCCTTCCTTCCTCTTTCCTTTCTTCCCTTTCTTTCCTTCTTTCTTTCCTTCTTTCCCTGTCTTTCCTTCTCTCTCTCTTTCTTTCCTTCTTTCTTTTCCTTCTTTCTTTCTTTCCTTTCTTTCCTTCTTTTTTCTTCTTTTTCTTTCTTCCTCCCTGCAAACCCCACTCCCTCCTAGCACTGATGATGTTCCCTAGTTGGGTCATGAAATTTCTGCAGGAAAACCACCAAGCTCATAGAGCATCAGAGGGCCCCACAATTCAACCCTGAGCAATTCAACGAAGTTTGGTTTCTTTTGCTGCACATTGCAGAGGGAGGGAGGAGAAGAGAATAAGAAAGAGAAGATACATAAAGGAGGAAAATGAAGGGAGGAGGAGGAGGAGGAGGAGGAGGAGGAGGAGGAAGAAGAAGAAGAAGAAGAAGAAGAAGAAGAAGAAGAAGAAGAGGAGGAGGAGGAGGAGGAGGAGGAGGAGGAGGAGGAGGAGGAGGAGGAGGAAGAAGAAGAAGAAGAAGAGGAGGAGGAGGAGGAGGAGGAGGAGGAGGAGGAGGAGGAAGAGGAAGAGGAAGAGGAAGAGGAAGAAGAAGAAGAAGAAGAAGAAGAAGAAGAAGAAGAAGAAGAAGAGGAGGAGGAGGAGGAGGAGGAGGAGGAAGAAGAGGAGGAGGAGGAGGAGGAGGAAGAGGAGGAGGAAGAAGAAAAAGAAGGAGAAGGAGAAGGAGAAGGAGAAGGAGAAGGAGAAGGAGAAGGAGAAGAAACAACAACTTGGAAAGAGATCAATAAATCCTGCAAAGACTAAAACAAAAAAAACTGGCTGACTGGGGAATTCTGGAAGTTGAAGTCCACACATTGTAATGTTGACAAGGCTGAGAAGCACAGATTTATACAATTTATACAAAGCAGATATGCTTCAACATGGCCTAATTGTGAATAATCTGTCCTTGGGTCTAATTTTTGGGTGGTAAATGTCAAGGTAGAGAATGGAATAAGTGGAGTGGAATGGAATGGAATGGAATAGCAGAATTGGAAGGGGCCTTGGAGGTCTTCTATTCCAACCCTGTGTTCAAGTAGGAAACCCTATGTCATTTCAAACAAATGATTCTCCAAGCTCTTCTTTAAAACTTCCAGTATTGCAGAATTCACAATTTATAGAGGCAAGTTGTTACACTAATTAGGAAATTAGTGTCAGGAAATTTCTCCTTAGTTCCAGGTTGCTTCTCTCCTTGATGAGTTTCCACCCGTTGCTTCTTGTCCTGCCCTCAGGTGCTTTGGAGAATAGCTTGACTCCCTCTTCTTTGGGGCAGCCCCTGAGATACTGGAAGGTTGCTATCATGTCTCCCCTCATCCTTCTCTTCATTAAACAAGACATAACTAGTTCCTGCAATTGTTCTTCGTATGTTTTAGCCTCCAGTCCCCTAATCATCTTTGTTGCTCTTCTCTGCACTCTTTCTAGAGTCTCCACATCTTTTTTACATCGTGGCGACCAAAACTGGATGGAAATATTCCAAGTGTGGCCTTACCAAGGCCTTATAAAGTGGTATTAACACTTCACGTGATCTTGATTCTATGCCTCTGTTGATGCAAGTGTTGGATTTTTTGGCAGCTGCAGCACAGTGCTTAAAACACCAAATCCAGAAATCATGAGTTCTAATCCTGCCTTAGGCACAAAGGTTGCTGGCTGACCTTGGGCCAGTCTCTCCCTTTAAGCTCCAACAAAGAAGCAATGGCAAATAATTTCTGAAAATTTTGCCCAGGAAACTACAGGGACTTTTTGCAGACAGTCTTCCCAAAAATACACTCCAAAATTGCCTAGGTATTTCAGGTGAAAAGTGAGGAAAAAACCCTTTGGATTTGAACCTGAGGAAAGCCAGCCTAGAATATGTGTGAGGAAGAAAGCAAACTCCATTCTTCCTGGCCCTGAAAAACAGATTTTGACTTTCCTGCAGATTCTTATATCCAATCTTTAAATTAGAAGTCTAAGGAAAGGCCTGCCCCCTCTTTCTTTCCCCCTCTCTTCCTTTCATTCACTCTCTCTTTCTCTTTCTCAGTCTTTCTCTCTCACTCTTTTTCTCTTTCTCACTTTCTCTTTCTTTTTTTAAACATATATTTCCTTTTTACAACAGTTTCAAATCGGTGTTCTTCTACCATTTGTATTTTTCCCCAACTCTTCTTCTCTCTTTCTTTTTCTCAATCTTTCTCACTCACTCTTTCTCTCTTTCTCTCTCTCTCTCTCTCTCCCATTCTCTGGATGGATGGATGGAAGGAAGGAAGGAAGGAAGGAAGGAAGGAAGGAAGGAAGGAAGGAAAAAGAAAGAGGCAGCAAAGGAGAAAGATTGAATCCGGATCAAATCCGGTGCAAAAAATTAAACCTCCCGATGGGCTGATTTAGACATAGTGAGAATCAGGTGCATGTTTTCCGGGGACAAATGTCGCGGGATTCCATCGGGGTTTGCGTGGGACGGTCGCCTGGCTCCCGGGAAGTCCGGACAGGAACCAGGAGGGAAGCAAATTATGGAGGAAGGACCGACGGACCTCGGGGATCGAAAATGCGGGGAGAAAAATGGAAGTATTCTCCTACAAACGCGCGTGATCGGTGTTCATACAAATACACGTGCGCACGGACACACAGGTTAAGAAAAGAGACCTAGGGAAAATCCCTGGCGCTGCGAGGAAACCAACGAAACAGCCGTGGACGGCGCGCAGTTGAATAAATACCTACATCCCTGTGCGTTTGCGCGGATTTTCAAGGTGCTTTCACACGTGCGCCAGCAGAGATTTAGATACACGCGTTGGTTGGTGCCTAGGTGAGCAAATAAGTCCGCGAGTGTCTAAAGGCACTCGGACAGAAACACGCGCGTTCAAGATGCATATACATTTCCTGGCTTTGAAATTACCGCGCTGAACATGATTACACTTTCACGCGTCTTTCTTCAATGAAGGGTCAGGATGTTGTTTGAATAGGGAAAATATACGCGCTCCGTTTTTCCCGGAGGGGAGGGGTGGAAGGGGCATAGGTAGCTCTAGACACCCGCACGTGCATCTGGGCATCAGCACGTGTATCGATCTCTGCACACACACGCGCGCGCGCGCGCGTGTGAAAGCAAACGCGCGTTTGCGCGTGTGCACATCCACAGATTTTTCATTTCTTCCTCCAAACGCGAGTGGTTTCAGTCTGGTCTTTTTCTCCCAGTCTGTGCACGCGTGTATTTGTCTGGACATGGGCCACGAGGTCGTAAAGAAGAGTTTTCTCCCGAGAAAGTCGGTAAGGAAGGATCGTAAATGAGATCCCACCTCCCACCCCCAAACCTCACCGGTCTATGCGAAGGATCGCGGTGTAGGGAGGATTTTTTTTTTTTTAACATTGTTCAGACGGCTTTTATGCCCGAAAACGGGAGGGAAGGAGGGAGGGAGGGGAGGGGAGGCTCCCAGTTCTCTCAACTTCGAAGCGCCGGATTCGGCGGCGAAAAGGATCTTTCTTCCGACGACATTGAATCCGAATTTGCGCGGGGAAACGGTCTGGCGACTTTTCCCCGCTTCCTAAGAAAACCGCATCGCTTAACACCTGCGTAAGGTTCTCCCCCATTTCCACACACACACACACACACCAGTCCTTGTCCACAAAGGACACCCCTCCGGTTCTCCTCGGCTGAAATCGAATCAAGTTGGGCGCTTGGCAAAAACAACTGGCTCAATCCGGATCACAGAGATTAACAGGCGCAGCCGCCTCCGACCGATCTCGCTCCGTAGTCACACCAGAATACAGCAGAGCGAAGCTAAAATTCACCCCCACAATCGCTTTTCCCAAGTCGGCAAAGCTGTCTTCCCCGCGGACCGCATTCACACGACCCGTTCAACCTGCACCCCCTCCCCTCCGAATTGAATTCCCTCCCAAAGCGCTCTTTCTCCCGCCCCCTTCTTTCTTTGGGAGTACCCCCAAACGAATCTGTTTTAAGCAAGAGAAGCATCGGGGGGGAGGGAGGGGGCCGCGCAAGCCGCGTCCGTCCTCTGCGCTGGTTCAGCGTCTCGTGGGAACGCGACAAGCGTGTCAAATTCAGGGGGGGGGGGCTGGACAGAAGGTCTCTACCGACATCGTCTCCCTCTCGGAATGTCTGGCATGGATTGAGAACTTCCGGGACGCCTTTTATTTTGTGGAACTGTAAATAAATTCCCCTGTAGGGGTCCATGATTTTTTTTAAAAAAACAACAAAAACAAATAAATCCCCAAATTTCTATTTTTGCCACCCGCTTTCGAGGCACAAAGTCGGATCTACGGAGCAGAGAAAAGGTGTGACTGGGAGGGTCTGGGGTCTTTAAAAACCAGCCTGCCTTAAAATCACCCCCATTTTATAAAGGGGGGGGGCAATACATGGAGGCCACACCCAGAGTTGGGCTTCACTCGCTCCATCACTGCGTTATTCACCTTCTCCAAAATGTAATTCTATTTTTTCCCCTTCCTTGTCTCCTTTATTCCTCTCCCTCCGTCTCTCTTTCTCTCTCTCTCTCTCTCTTTCGCACCCTGCTCAGCTTACACACACACACACACACACACACACACACACACACACGGGTTTGTGGGCCAACGTGTCTTTAAGTGGGTATTAAAAGAAGCACCTTCTCGGAAGTCGCTCAGTCGCTCTTCTGGCATTTGAGAAAGAGGCAGCCTCTGCGCTCCCCTCCTCGATCTGCTGGTTGATTTTTCTAAAAACTTATTTTTCCTATTAAACATTTCTTTCCTTTTTCCTTTTTTCCTTTTCTGTTTTTTAGCTTGGCTGAGGCCGGAAAGATTCCCTCTTCCCACCCACCTACTCCCCCAAAAACAGGGGGAACTCCTCTCCAAAATTAATTCGGGGTGATTTATTTCGGGTTTTTTTTTGCTTGAAAGTTGGAGAGAGACGCCGGGGAATAATCTGCGAGAGACGGAAACGCAGCTACCTGTTGAGGCTAATTTTTTATTTTATTTTCAAGGGGTGGCGTAGGTTTTTTTTTCCGGCTACCCCGCGCGCTGAAGGAGAGAAAAAAATATTGCAATTCTTGCGTTCTTCTTATTTTTATTATCCGCCTGACTTTTCTCCGACTTGCATTTAAAAAAAAACACACACACAACTTTCCCAGGCGACAAAAATGTTCTTCCTAGGATATTTGCTGTTTATTGGCGGATTGACCCGGGTTCTTTCGAGTTATCCCATCTGGTGGTAAGTTGGTTTTCTTAATTCCTTAATATTTCGGGGGGGGGACCCACTTTCTGACGAAGCTAGCCTGGCCAGAAAAGGTGGGCTTCGCCTTTTTCTTATTTCTAACCCGTTGTCAGGAACTGGGTGTCACTGGGCACCTAGGGAATTGTGGTTCCTACGACAATTTTAAGACCTGGGTAATTTTGCGTCTTAGATTTTTCCAATACGGTGTTTGTTTTGACTGGATGAACTCTTTAAAAAAAAAAAAGAACACTATAAGAAGAGGGGGGAACTTTGAAAAGATGGGGAAGGGGATGAGAGGCAGAAGAGATTGGCTGATTTTTATTTTGTTTTTTAAGGAATCCAGTTTTGATGCTCTCCTGGGGAAATTAAATCAAGATACAAGCCAACGCGTGTTGCTTGCCTTTCTTTTTTTTTTTAAAGAAAAAATAAAGTAATTTTAACTTAATTATGGGGAGGGGGGAGAAGAGCAGGGAAAAAAATGATTATTTTTTTTTGAGAGAAGCAAACTCAAAGGGGCAGAGTAATGCGGCTTTGGGAAGGAAGCGTAAAAATGCCAGAAGCGTAAAAATAGAAAATATGTTCTGCTTAAGAACAGGTTTATTTTTATTTTCTGCGCCGTTTACCCCCTTCTCTGTTTAGAAGATTAGCTTTGTAAAGGGGGGCGGGGGAGTCTTCGCTCATCTTCATGCCCCCCCCCCGGAAAAAAAACCCGAAATCCCAGTGAAAAAATGCAGGATTTTCTCGAAAGTGACTCTAGTTGCTGTCTCTTTTTGGGAAGGGGGGTGGTAAATGATTGAGATTCGGCAGTCGCCCGGGCTTGTTTTTCTGCCTTCTGGCTTATAACTGCAAATAGATGGGAAGGGGGGGGTGTTGTTAGGGAAGGGGGGGCAGTGAAGAGGAAGCCAAACTCCCCGCAGCTTCGGGTAAAGCTTTACGCGACTCGCTGGTAAACGCGGCATGAAGCGTGCTTCGCCTTCGCTTCTTGGCCAGACGCGATTCCGGCTTTCCAAACTCCGTCCTTGAGAACCGGGGATGTTTCCTTTGCCCTCGCTCTCGGGGTTTGTAGGGCGAGAAGGGGAGGGGAGGTGAAAGGGTCATCTCTGCCCGGTTCCCCCCCCCCGACCCCAATCCTTTTTTTTTTTTATAGCTTAGAGGTCCGGCTGCAAGCGTCTTTCCGATCCGATTGGGTCCAACCGGTCGGGCAGCTTCCTAACCTCGGAAAGCACCCCAAGACTTGCCCCCCACCCCACCCCACTCCGGCGAGGCGTCGGGTCCCTTGCTGGCCTGGAAGCCGCCCCTCCCTGCCCGGAGAATCGCAATTGTCGAAAGCGGGGTGCAAATTGCCATTGTCGAAAGCGGGTTTGCTGCGGTCCAGAAATCGGGGAGCTCGGCCGATTTGGAGGGGATGCAGCCACCCCTTTAGCCTCCGGGGAGGGGGGTTGTTTAAGGCTGGGGTGGGGGGTGAGGAAGGCAGGAGGCAGAGCTCCCCTCCCTGCTTCTCTGCCCGCATCCAAGCCTTCGCGCGTCTCTGAACCCCGCTTTTGACGACTCGCTCGCCCGGTTATTTTGCCGAAGGTGGCCGCCTCCCTGCCTTCGCAGGCTGAGCCCCGCGAGGGAAGGGGGGGCGGGGGGGCCCTGGCAGGCTGTCGGGACGGGCAAGTTGCGGCAAATCGGTCGGTCGGCGGTAATTATAGACTTCAGAGAGCTGGAGATGAGAAAAACGAGGCGAACTCTCTGCAGCTTGGCTGGGGAGCCCCCCCCTCCCACCTCCCACCTCCCCTGGGCTCTCTTGCCAATCTCGCCGCCCCCACCCTCACCCCGCCCCAAGCCGGGCTTTCCTAAGGGTCCCGCTTCCCAAGGTCAGGGGCTGTGAAAATCCGCAAACACGTGTGTTATCCATATCCCCCCCCCCCTTTTCCAGGTGCTGCTTTAAGAAGCTTTACAGACGCAAGGAAGCTAGAGAACCAGAGGCAAATAGCGAAAGCTTGTCTGGGCTGGACCACTTCGGTTTGCGGGTGTGTGTGTGTGTGGTGTGGGGAGGGGAGGGGAGGGGAGGGGAGGGAGGGAGGAGGAAGAAAAGGAGGCGGGAAGAACGTGAGAAAAAAAAAGGCATCTGTTTGCACGTGGGCAAATCGCCTCTCGAAGTCAAGAAGAAAGTGAAATTTCTAAATTTCCTCCCACTCCCCAGTCCAGGTGTGTGAATGGTTCAGTCCAGGCAAAACTCGTCCACTTGATAAGGTCTCTATAGAACTCACCTGTTTCCTTTCTTTTTTTTTTTTAATGCTTCTAGATAAGCTGGCCTTGTGTCAATTTTTTCCCCCCAAATTGGACCGCTTTAAGAGGTGTGAATTTCAACTCCCAGAATTCCCCAGGCTAAATTCCGGGAATTAAACTCTGCACCTGTGCGAAAGTAGCCAAGCTTTTTATTTATTTATTTAAAAAATGCATTATATTAAAGCCTGCCTGCCTTTCCCAGCGCGTGTCCCTATTCGGACCTATTTAAATTTCACCTCGACACATCATTGGTTATTTTAAAGGACTGGGTTTTTTATTTATTTTATTTAAGAATATATATATTCTTAAATATATATGTATATATGTGTATGTATATATGTGTGTGTGTGTGTAAATATATAATATATAAATATAGATAAGGCATTCACACATTTCGCTGCAATAAAAGCTCTATAAAGGCACTCACACGTTACGTTGCAATAAACGCGTGTCGGGTGCCTTCGTTCCGGTTTCTCTGACGGCACCCCAGATATGATACACGTGTTTCAAACACCTTTAGGTAGAAGAGACATAGGAATTATATTTCAAATATCGAAAACATGACTTCAGTTATCTAGACCCTGATGAGAATTGTTTTCCTGAAGGATGCCTGTATGCAATTAAAATATAAGCGTCTTTCGAAACGGGGCCATGGAGAAAATAATATATTAAAAATTACGCTTAAAGGCGATTTAGAAGTGTTAAATTTCCCCTTCGCAGGAACCCAGTTTGTGAAACCCGTTATTAATTTTTTTACAGTTTTTATAAAAGCTGCTTTCCGTGGGAAAGGGTCCGCACCAGGCCTCGTTAAAACCGAATCGTTGGAGACTTAATTCGGTTTAAAAACGCACCCTGCTGGAACGAACGCGGAGCTTTCAAACCGCCTAAAGGAGCGCGAGGCGATTAAAAACCCGGCGTTTATATATCGCCCCGCTTTGTAAATCTGAGAAGAATTTTGCACGCGAAAGGTTCGAGGGAGGCCGTATGTAGAGGCCCCTCTTTTTGGAAAACAATTCGGTTTCTTTCCAGCTTCAGGGGCGGAAAACGGATTTAAGAGTCGGTGTGCAAATAACGGGGTGCAAAAATATAATGCAAATACCCGCTGCTCCGCACCTGTTGCTGGGGGAGGGGGTGTTATCCCCTCCAAATTTTTCTGGGATGAACAAATTTTGCTCATAATGAATAGAATATAATTTTTTTACTGGCCAAGTGTGATTGGACACACAAGGAATTTGTCTTTGGTGCAGAAGCTCTCAGTGTACATAAAAGAAAAGATACGTTGGTCAAGAATCATAAGGTACGACACTTGATGATAATGAACAAACACAACGCAGTTTTTTTTAAATCTAGTGGTTAAGGTACCGGGTTAGAAAGTGGGGAGGCGGTGAGTTCTAGTTCTGCCTTAGACATGAAAGCCGCCTAGGTGACTTTGGGGCATTTATTAGGAGATGGTGAGTTGCAGTCCCGCCGGGGGGGGGGGGGAGAAGGGGAGGGAAACGGTTCATGTCTGAGCCCCCCCCCATCTTAGAATCAAACGCGAAGGCTTTTTGATTCGGATTTAGAGGCGAAGTGGTTCGGTTTTATGGGTTACTTCGCCCCTTGTCATCCTCTCGCCTGCCGCCCTTCCCTTTCCATCCGTTTAAGGAGGGACGGGAGGCATCCGGAGTCACTTCGCTTTGGTTTAGCTCCGCTTTAATTTCCCAATCTCCCCCCCTCTCTCTCTTTCATTTTCTCTTCTCTCTCTCATTCTGTCTTTTATTTTCCCTCTCTTTCTCTCCCTCATTTTATCTTATTCTCTTTGTCTCATTCCTTTTCTCTTATTCTCTCTCATCCTCTCTCTCTCTCATTCTCACATTTTCATTCTCTCTCATTCTGCTCTTATTCTCCCTCTCATTCTGTCTCTGCTTCTTTCTCATTTGCCTTCTTTTTCTTTCATTGTCTCTCACTCATTTTCTTTTTATTCTCATTCTCTCTGATTCTTATTCTCCCTTTCTCTCTCTCATTCCCTTACTGTTTGTCTCTTTCACTCATTCTCTCTTTCTCTCTCTCATTGCCTCTCTTTCATTGTCTCTCTCTCTCTCTTTTTCTTTCTCTCATTCTCCCTTCATCTCATTCTCTCTCTCATTTTCTCTCTCTCTCTCATTCTGTCTCTTATTCTACCTCTCTCTCATTCTCTCTCTTTCTCTCTCTCATTGCCTCTCTTTCATTCTCTCTCTCTTTCTTTCTCTCTCTCATTCTCCCTTTATCTCATTCTCTCTCCTCATTCTCTCTTTCTCTCTTATTCTACCTCTCTCATTCTCTCTCTCTCTCTCTCATTGCCTCTTTCATTGTCTCTCTCTCTTTCTCTTTCTTTCTCTCTCTCATTCTCCCTTTATCTCATTCTCTCTCTCATTGTCTCTTATTCTACCTCTCTCTCATTCTCTCTCTTTCATTGCCTCTCTCTTTCATTGTCTCTCTCTTTCTCTCTCATTCTCTCTCTTTCTCTCTCTCTTTCTCTTTCTCATCCTCCCAATGTGGAAACCAAGTTTTGGGCCCCCAGGTAAATACCTGGTGGTCTCTAGGAATGTCCCATTGGAAGGAAGGGGTTGCCCCGGACACTAGGGATTTAAAAAACCCACCCCAATCTCTGCATGACTGGGAAGGCTACATGCCCCCCCCCCCAATCATCTCCAGGCAGGGAGTAGAAATGATGGGAATGCTTTACGTTAAATTTACAGCTTGCA